TTGATTACAAAGCTCTCATCAAGATTAGGACTGCACCCTTCCTGTTTTATTGTATTAAAAATGAACACAGTAATATCTAATAGAAATGCCTTCAGTGGCCAGCACAAGACATTTTAGTGCATATGTGTTGCAGAAAGCAGATTATCAGCAGTTTCAGAAAATTAGGCCTCTGTTTTAAGTTTGGTATCCAGAATCATTTCACACTGGTGACCAGTATATAGCAGTTTCCCTGTCTTCTATACCTGTCTTGAGCTGAGCTGTTTTGTATCCAGTTCCATTCACAAAAAATTAGCGAGAGGGAGAGAAATAGCTCGAGAAAGGAAGAGTGAACATTAGGCATCTCTTGACTTTCCCCTTCGTGTGGTCCCACGGAGCTTTCTGTCCCCATCTCTCTTCAACCTCCCCCCCAGGTTATTTTCCATTCTCTGTTATGCAGCTGGAGGCAGGGTGTTTGGAGTGGCCTGACAATTTAAATTCTAGTTTTAATTTAATGTTTTACATGTGTTTTAGAGCTAAAGTAGAGATAGACAGCAGCAGCTGGAGCCAGCTGCAGCACACGCCGGTGCTAGGCGGAGAGACATCTTTTTAGTGTTCTGCTAAAGCACCTCATCCGTGACCACTGGCACCCCAGCCAAATTTGACAGCAATGCCACATTTTATATGGATGAGTATCTCCATGGCAGAGTTGAGACTTGCATTGGAAGGTAATGAAGAAGGACATTTTAGTGAATCTGATCCTGCTTTACCAGTGAAGTAAGGTAGTAGTGATTGATTAGTTCAAGCACAAAGAACGTAAGTGCACTGTACTGTAGCTATCAAAGATTGTTTAGGGATACTACTCTGGGGAAGCTTATAAATGCAAAAACAAAACAGAAGACAAAGAAAGGCAATAATAAGAAATAGAAATTACTCACTTTCGTGCCAATGGTTTGATACTTGATTAAGGATTTCCTACAGTATGGCTTTTGATATCTTGTAAGTCGTGTTAGTGTTAACTACCCATATGAAACCTGCTGTGAAAAAGCTTCAATAACAAGAACTATAACAACTTCATGAGGAATGTTTGAGTCATTGAGTTTAGTAAGTTATTGCTTAAGGCTTCTGCCAAAATAGGCTCGTTTATCATCCTGCAGACATTGTGACACTTAAAAATGAATAAGTGCATGTTATGAGTACAAAAATATCTTTCTGATAGTCCATAAATCCTTATTGAAGTAAAGGGAATAAAGGAAAGGCAAGGAGAATGCAGAGACAGCACTTAAACTGCTGTACATGAAATCTGGCTTTTGGATTAGCTTTAGATTTCCATCTACACAAGCCTATGGCATCCAGACATGTTGCAAAAAGTAACGCTTTGGTGCTGACGCATATTACTGACTGGGCTGCATTTGCATGACCTGTTGAGCAGGAGGAGACCAGTAAAGGAGAGATGCCTTAAAAGTGCCTTCTGGCTCCAGGTGGCAAGAGGAAGAGAGTCCCATAACCCCCACGTCCTAAAAAGTGAAAATATGTGCCCTAGTTACTTTGCAGTTTGTAACTTGTGCTTTTAATATCTATTTCAGCTGTTCATGCTAAAAGTCTCGTAGCAATACTTCATCTTCTGGTTGCGTTATCACAGTATTTTCGAGCACCAATCAGACTCCCAGATCATGTGTCCATTCAGGTGGTTGTTGTGCAGGTAAGAGAGGTGTTAAACAGCTCTTGATAGAGTTGTGAAACTGACTGAGGGGTTTCTTGAAAAATACATCTAGAATTTGTGTTTGGGCGAGCATCCGTGTGTCTCTTTGGCTGACAAGAAACACACGTGCATCTTCCCTGCTGACAGTGCTTCAACCAGAAAAAGGCAGAAGTGCTTTCCCAGATTGAGCTGTGGCTCAGAATGTCTTATTTTGATTGTAAAGCGGCCAGACTCCGACATTAAAAATATATGAAGCATTATTATTGTTGGAATGTGTTTGTTTATCACCCAATATGATCTCTAGAATTATTATTTTTCCCATTTTTGACGGTCTTCTCACTTGTATAGAGATTCAAATCATTCTTGGCACTGAATGATGAATTGTCACTGTTTATTACATTCAGATTCATGTTAGGTGACTAAATATTCTTTTTCAGCCTTGTGCATGCTAATTTAGTCTGATTACAGTGTTGGCTTTCTCATAAGCATGCAACAAAATCCCATCAACTAAATCTTTTGTGTCACTCAGTCTCCTTATTAGAGCCTGATCCATCCAAACTCTTCATGTTATTCTGTTCATCAATTTTCTTTCAGTTGGACTTGTGCTTGCTCTATCTTATTTGTCCTCTTCCCATTCAATCTGTTTTTCTTTCTCTCTCTAACTTTGCCTTTATTTTTCGCACTGTAACTGTCTTTATTTATGTGTTTTAACTGATGTTACCCTGAAGTACCTGGTGCAAAGAGCTATTGTTCAAATTTTGTGTCACTGAAAATCTGTGGGACAGATCTGAGAAAGTAACCACTCCTTTTTCCAGCATTCAAATCAGACAAGTTTTGCAATTTGGGGAGAAATCTGAAGGAGGGTCTCTGGTAGATGTATCACTGATGCCTGATAATGATTCACTGACTCTCAGATTCTGCTTTGTGGGTTTCTCTACAGATGATGAAAGAGAACCCCAGCAAATCTGTACTTACGTGTCTAAGGCTTCAGAGGAACATAATTTTCAAGCACTTTCCTTTGACTATTGTAAATATATTAGTTACACTGGTTTATCTCAAAGTTCTTCCAAAATCTGCGTAAGAAATCAGGAGCACAGCCATCAGGGCATCTTTGGGAGGAGAAACTAAACCAGAAAAAGAATACAGTCCTAAAATAAAGTGACAGCAGAATGCAAGATCTGGTTCTCCATATATGCAGACAAAATTCCCATTGAAATCAATGGATGTAATTGTCCTCTTGTTTAATAGGCCAATGTAGTTCAACAGCAAATCCACTGAAGTCAGTAGAGATAAACCGATTTAAAAACAATAAGTAGTGGGAGAATCAGACTCACTGCTTTGCCTCAGCTACACAGCTGTAGCTCAGGTGCCAGTGAATGGCAGAGAAAGCAGTTGCACAAGAATAAAATCCAAGTAATGTTGCAGAAGATTTCACCCTGTAGACACAGTTCTTAGTGAAAGCCCATCAGTGGAACTCCAAGGCTGTGCTGATTCCTATTAACATAGGGTGGGGGCCAGTATTCTTACTGTAATTGTGTTCGAGACATTTTTCATTTTGATTTTATGGTGAGTGGGGTTTTTATTTTTATTTTTTAAATCTGTCTTTCATGTCCTGTGGGGTTGGTTCTATATAATTCATCACGTACCCTTTGAACTCAATGAAAGTTTTAATCAACAATCAGCAGATCCTAAAGCTTAATTTAGTGTTCAAACTTGCATGCCTCGCGTTCTAAACATTCTGTAAAGTAAGGTCATGCCTAGGGAAACTCAACAGACCACGTGGTAGCTGGTTTTAAATTCTACCCTATAAAGTTTGATAAAGGGAATAGAAGAGAGAGAAAAATAAAAGAACAAAATACTTTTATGAAGTCTTTAAGGAAGACTACCCTAATTCATTTCATGATTTTGTTAGGCTTAGAAACACATCATAAAATGTGAGGGTTGACGTGTTGGCTGGGTGTAGTTTATTCAAATAGAAACAAAGATATTTCTGAAATAAAAAATGTGCTCATGCCCAACAGGTAATCAGCACAGTTCTTATGAAAGCTTTTTCCTGTTGCTGTTAGCAATGAGAGTAATATGAAATCTGGGTTATAAGCTTATTTGGGAAAAAATGTGATAGCTGGACCTTTTGTATCTATTTTGTTGTATTATTTTCTTTTCCTTCTATACTAATGGAATGAATAATTTTGAAGAAAGCCTAGGCTTTGTTTGATCATTTCTACTGAAACAAGTGAGAGCTTTTGCAGAGAGCTGGATCTTGCTATCATTTTGCCTCTTTTAAAAAATTATTTATTTATGTCATCCACAAATGGTTAAGTGACAGATTGCTTCTGTGCAAGAGCTGTAAGTCCGAGGGCATAAGAATGCATTGGCAGAGCAACCAGAATGGCTTCAGCATATTCTAAGCACTGGGACAGTAATTCTTGGGTGCATAAACTACCGCTAAGCAAAGCTAGGAGATTAATGAGATTAGAAGAAGGTGTATACCACAAGCTTAATCTGAGATCGTTGGTCCACTGCCTCTCTGAAAGCCCTGGGAAGGTCTGAAATGTTTCCAAGCAGCATTGCCTCCAGGTTCCCAAGAAGTCTTTTTTTGAACCTATGACAAATGTATTTGTCCTTTAAAGCTCCAGAATAGTTCTGCATTTCATCTTGGTGGGGCAATTATAAAATGTGATCCTCCAGACGAAATGGATAGCAACAATACATAGGCAAAACCCATTCAAATAGTGTGAAGGTTTTCAGAATGGGACTTTGTGTGGGAAATCAAGCAGTTGGCCCTCAGTTTTATAAAACTGCTGACATATACCTGATGCGAAGAGACATGAAGAAGAGCGACCCTTTCCATTTCCAGACATATTACCCAAATTTCAGATGTACTTTTTTGTTCTAGGTGTAGTCATCAATTTAAAATGATAAGTGATTAGGAAGATCTTTCATGGCCTTCAGTGGAGTCTTTCAGCTGTGAGGGAAGAAGATGCCAAGCCTGCCCAAATAAAGTCTTCTGTGGTCGCTGGAATGTGCATGCAGCTTTACTTTTTAATGGGGAATCTTAATTCATGCCTCACTTCTCGGTGACTTTCAAATAGTAGATATTCATTTGTATAATTTTTTATTTCAGTTATAGCCACTGTTATCTTTAAGGAACATTGCTGGACAGTCTTTCAGTCCTCAGTAGCATTTCTTTGTATTTTTAGGAATATTGTGTCATTCTCTGTCCAGTATAAAACAAACTTTACAACAGGTGACATCAGTGTTAGGGTCAATTTTGAGATTTTAAAGTGCAAAAGATGTATGGGAAGCAGCCTTCACAGAGAAGGTGCTTAGACTAGTGTTTCTAAGGTCCATTCTGATTGTTGCCATTGGGACTTTTTCACCAGTCTTTTTATGAATCAAAAGCATAGGAAAGTCTATCTTGACATGTGCTGGTCAAATAAGTGTCCAGCAGATGCATGTTGTATTTAGGCAGTGTGGAAATTCCATTAATGTTAGTGATCTGATGCCAGGCACAAAACTAGGGTTTGATGTCTTTTTTTTTTTTTTTTTTTTTTCCTCTTTTGGTCGACAATAGGATTAAGGTGCAGAATTCCTATTGATATTAATTGCAGTTTATCAAAAAGGAAAATATGTTTTATGTTGGTACTGGAGTATGTTTTGAGCTATTTTTGCATGTTTGCAGAGGGAAGGTAGAGTATTAGAAGCCTTTTTCTTCTCCCCTGTCACCAGACTGGGCACTGAGAAGTACAGTTGCTGTTGCTATGATGCTCAGCTCCTCTAGGAGATGAGAGCGATAGAGCTTTTGCTCGAGAAGGCATCATTGGCATGTCAGAGTCATCGTCAGGAGGAGACAGAAGTTTCTCTTCACACTGCAGCAAAGGGAAGAATAAACAAAAATCCCAAACAGAGTGGAATTCTAACTTAAGCTAGTCTGAGCTAGATTGTAACTTCAAGTGCAAGTACTTATTGCTGTCCGCACAAGCTGGAAATGAAGATAGCCCTAAATGATATAATTTTTGTTCATACTGTCGTGCTAGGTGACAGAAGATGTCTCAGCAGCTGTTCTGTGCCCTCTCTTTCAGTATGTAACACACTGGACTCCACTCTGTCTTTCTAATGTTCAAAGGTCCTCCCTGAATGCTTTTTTAACCATGTGCAAGATATTTAGTACCAGGACTTTAACAGAAAACACTTGAAACTATCATCTAGCTAAAAGGACAGTTCAAATTACTCCAAGTGCCAGTCTGGAGTGACCCAGAAGGTGCCATGTATGGCTTTCTTGTGGAAAGTAAGTTTGATCCTCATATATTTTAGTAATGCAGTATAGAAGTAATAGGCTCAAACCTGGCCAGATCCTCAGCACATCATACACTGAGGGCTGCCTCAGGTGGTGATGTGCTATCTTCTCCAAGGCAGGGAAGAGCAGCAGCCCCAGTTCACGTGCCACGAAGGACTTTTCCGAAAGGTTATTCTCCTTTTCTTTTTTCCATGCAGAAGGCAAGTCTGGGACCAGCATAAATTTATTTTTCTCATTTCCTTGTATGACAGGGAGTGAAGAATCATGAATAATTGCCTAATGTCTAGACTTTACATGCAGTCGTCAGCATTTGCCTGACTTTTCTTTCTGTATTGCAAAATTTTACTAATTCCAATGAACAGAATTAACAGAGAGAACACAAAGAGAGGCTAAACATATGTGTGGTATTTACACCGCCACCAGATGACTGTGATCAGCATCCTGGAAACAACGTCAAATTTTTAAACTCTTTCATTGTCCAACTGACTCAAATAGCAACCATTTGAGTTGGCTTCTGCCATTTTGTGCACAGCTTCTAGATGCAGGCCACTCACCACCACATACGGAGGACTTCTCGCATCTGAAGAACATTGCAATTAATGCATATATTAACACCAAGATAATGAGGGTCTGGAGCAGGCTGTGAATGGATTAGCTTCCATTTTGGTTTTCCATCACAAGCAAATAGAGCTCTTTGTGTGGAGAGAAGTCAGAAAAGGAAAACACTGAGGCAAAAAAGAAAGTGTGTGAACAGGGCAGAAAGAACAGATAGCCTAGGAGCAAGATTTTTGCAAAAGAGAAGCATGGGCACCATCTGCCAAGCTGTTCATTGAAATACAAGGTTTAATTCAACTCACCTAGACATACCTCTACTAAAATACTTACATATGCGTTTAGGTGTTTCAAATGCCTTGCTGAATTGGGGCCTTTAAAAGAAAAGTGCATTAAGAACAATGGAGAAAGGAAAAGAAATACTTCCTTCTACAGGTGGAGTTTCAAGTTTCTTGTTAATGTACAAAAGAGTTTTCTGAAATACTTGCAAGGTGAAATAATATATTACTGTAAGTTTGTTCTTAAAAAGTTCTTATTTTGCAGGTTTCTTATCTAATTATATTTGTAGATCACAAATAAATTTTTACTGTACCCTAAGCATTAAACTTTACTGAGAAAAATGTCACTTTTTTATTTTTTCCAGAAACGAGAAGGAATCCTCCAGTCTCGACAAATCCAAGAGGAAATAACTGGTAACACTGAGTATGTCAACACCACTTTTGCCAGCAGTTCAGTAATTGAACACAGATGCATCTCAGAAATCCAAGCATTTGCTGATATTTAGATTTTGGTATTGGGGTTCCAACGAAGATGATGCATCAGCCAGTGACTGTATTTTAGCCTTTTCAAGAGCTGCAAACATGCATCTAAAAATACAAAAGGGTGATGAAATACAGAGCTGGGGAACTAAAAGCAGGAGACCAGGATAAAAGAGAAGACAGAATGAAGATATACAAAATCTCTATTTTATATTTATCTACTATGAATTTATTTCTGTATTTATTATATTTCTTAGTATTTTATTCAAAAGTCCTTCACACAAACAAGCAAGATATGCCTCATTCTTTTATGTTGGTATTAATTTGATAGAGAACTAGATTCTTTCAAAAAGGAATGTGATATGACTATTTTTAGGTGTTTGGACTTTGGGGATGTAAAATGACAGTAGTAAGCTCTGTACCTGTCATCTCACCGAACAATTTATAACAGAAATGTTATTCCAAACCAACAGAAAGCAATAGTAAAATATCCTAGATTCTAACAGAATGGAGAGAAGCCAGACTATTGACTTATTATGAATCTTTATGGATTATTTTTTTTTTTACGTGTAATAGTTACATGAAGGATCAACTGGAGCAAAATGCTGCAGTCTGTAAGAACCCAGTCCAAGCATTGTTTTGGCTGGAATTGTATTGTAGTTGGTGTGGTAAATGCATCTTTAAAGCAAAGGGAAAAGTTTTCACAAAATCAACATGAAAATCTTCATGAAGGCAAGGTGTGTTGATTTGGTTCAATAGTAGGAAATCTGAGATCTTGCCTCCCATGAGACTTTAGTGAAGCCAGGAGATATTATACTGATGAACTCCAGACTAATCCAGATCTCAGTTGGAGTAACTTGATGAAGGTTTACTTAATTCCAGGGATCTACTCCAGTTTTCACCAAGCTGAAGATCTGGCCATGTATGCTGTTTTCTTTTGCAGCACAATGTGTGCAAGTGAATTATATATAACTGTGTTTTGTTCCTTTTTTTTTTTTTTTTTTTTTAATAGGGCATTATCGGGAAGGCATGGTAAGTTCATTTGTTTATTATCTTTTTCTTGAGGCAGCCAAAGTATACATTAGTTCTGCAATGGGTGGTCACATTGATCAAACTGCAAGGAAGTAGAGGATTTCAAGTTGCCCTGGCAAATATATACATATATGCACCACAGGCTATTGTGGCAGTTAACAAAAGGAAAAAAGCATTAAAATCAGTTTGGCCATCTTTAAAACATATTTCATTGCTTTTCAGCACGTGTTAATTTGCAGGTGCTTTGTGGTTTAACCTCCAGAACATTACTTTAATAGTATTAATGGTCTTAAGTTCCCAGCATAATATGAAATGATGTCTTATCATAAACCAGCTGGTTAACTTGTTGGCGTTCTTGCATACATTACCTACTTACACTTTAATGGCATTGAGTCATTATTCAGCAGGCCTAAACACCATGCAAGTTCCTGTGCCTAGTATGTCTTACTGCTAGTATTGAGACTGCCCAAATGCCTGGCCAACAGAAAACACTCATCTGAGGAGCTTAGGTGGAGTCCTACCAAGAATTTAGCATTTGCTTCTTGTGTTATTTCAACGGCTACCTTACAGCTGATTTAAAAGGCTACATGCATGACTTCTTTTCCCAATGATATCCCTGAGCAGTCTTACTTTGTATAAGGTCTCTCTTCTACAATTGCTTTGGGATCTACTCTAACATTTTTTTGTTGAAGAATATGAATGTAGCTTTTTGTAGAGTCATTCGCTAGCATTCAGGTGATTGTTGAAATGGAAATTGCTCAGAAAAGGCTCTGGTGCCGTTTTGGTTTTTTTTCCTGTTTTCTTCAGAAGGTGACTATAGTAGCACTCCAGTCATGCCACCCTAGGTTGCTGGTCCTGCTGGTAATGTCCTAAATTGCATATCAGAATGGCCCAAAAACATCTATATAAAGGACTGTATTGCAGCTGTGTAGTCATAAGGTTGCTTGAAGTGGTTAATAATATAGCAGACCACAATGCAGTCAATGGCCCATGGGGAAAATCTTCCTCTGTATGTGTAGTGACTCTAGATGTAAACTCATATTCTTCTGCACACAATGATTTGGTTACTTAGCTCCCTGGATCTGGCTGTTTAAGGTTTTATGCATAAAGATACCATTCTTGGTTCATTTTTGAGGAACAGGGTTATTAGGTAATCCAAATCCTAGTTGAAAATTATGCTTTTTGTAAATAATAGATAATAAGTTACTAGCAGCTTATAGCAAGAGAGCAGTACGCAAAACACATGGTACTTGGAATACAAAGAGACTATATTGAAACTGTTTGCTGACTCTGTTGTCTTAAATGAGTGTGTGCCTTAATAAGTGTTTATTCTGCATTTGGATAACTGATGCTCAGTATATTAACATATCTGAATGTTTTTCAGAAAGAGATGCATTTGATACTTTATTTGACCATGCTCCAGACAAGCTCAATGTCGTGAAAAAGGTTGGGAGGTTTTTATTTTTAAAATACACAATGTGTGCATGTGCATGCTTGTGTGTATCTGTTTGTACGTATGTAGTGAGTGTGTATGTATATAACATATAATTGGCATAGTTTGCATACATTAAATACGACTAAGCTTTATGCTTCAACAAATATACAAATTCATGATTGTAATGTTACTTTTTATTAATATTTAGCAGCATGAACTTACCTTTGGAACACAGAAGAACATGTAGTTATCAAAGTTTCCATCAAAAAGAAGTTCTCACAAAGAGTATGTTGAGTAGAACCCAGCTGGTAGATTGAGTGTACTGATGCCAAAGAGGTATTCAGTTTACAAGTGCCAGGGGTCTGACCTAGAGTATTTTGGCTGCTGTCAGATTTGAGTGGAGTCCAATTACCCACTTCCCTGTAGTCTGCTACAAGGATTTTTTTAAGAATTATTATGTTTTAACAGTGTGTTTTTATTTATATACATCATGTTCATTTTATTTCTGTTCTTCATTCTTGGAAAAAAAAAGATTTTTTTTTTTTTTTTTTAGTGTCACATTTCAGTTTTAAAACTTTAAAATTATGTTGCAGTCTCTTCACTCATGCAGATTCTCTTCTGAGTGGAGTTCATACTGCGTGCGTTGACCTGCTGCCCTACTGCATAGGCCTTCACTACATTGTTTTCATGTTTCAGACTCTCATCACCTTTGTGAACAAGCATCTCAATAAATTGAATTTGGAGGTCACTGAACTGGAGACCCAGGTAGGATTTTACAGCCTTTCTTAAAGGGGGAGGGATAGTTGCACTATGTTATGCACTATGCCCCCAACTTTATCCAGAAATTTCATTGAATTCTTATTGATTGAGCTCTAAGATGTTATTTCAGCGGGAAACCTTTCAATTCTAAATATGTTCATATGAAGAAGATCCACACCAAGTGAGCAGAGAAATCATGAGGGCAGCTAAATTGCTCTAAAATGGTTTCGTACTTCCATTAGCATAAAAATTAATTAACAGATGCTACCTCTTGAGTGTTGCCAAGTGTTGTAAGCAGAACCTGTGCTTGTTTTGGTCAGGGAAAAACTCTATCTGCTTGGTTTGATTCAACGACAAGCTGAACAGTTGTTTCCTGCCTACCTTTACACAGGCACGCAATCGCATGGGATTACAATGACTCTATTCAGTGAGATACGTTCTTGAGAGTAAAGCTACTCAAGTGTATAGGCAGCTGTGCAGTTGGGCTGCAGGCTTGATTGCACCACAGAAATAATGTGGTACATGGTCTTCTTTCTTGTTCTCAGCTGCTAAATTGGCTGGAAAGAAGCTAAAAGAAAGGCTTAATCCTGCTGTATTAATACCTCCCTATGTGAACAATTGCAGCAGTTATCATAAGAAAATTACAAGGTCAGGCAGGCAGGATGGTATCTGCACTATCAAAAAAACCGAGGCGTCTTCAGGACAGGTTTTATTTTATGTCTTGATTCATGTTTTTAAGAATCTCTGGTTTATTTAAATAGCTATCAATCTGATATAGATTTTTCACAGGTAAAATGATGATTTAGATGGAAATAAGGACTTTCAGAAGGCTGTTTCCTATGCCTTCTTATTGCATTGTTTACTTTTGGAAAAACTGTATCATTTAAATGTACCTAGAAACCCCTTAAGCATTTGTCCAAAACAGTATTCCCTAAGATGAGAGACTGTATTTCTATCCGTTGAAAGAAAATTATCTACCTCAGGAAGGGGATGGGTTGCTTCAGATAACCCAGTTTGTTTGTGAGGATATCTCAGTGCACTGATAGACCTGATGCCACAGGGTTAAGAGTGAGAGGCCTTTAACAAAATCTTATGGATGTTGCTATTTTTTTAGATAGAAATGAACATATATCATAGCAGTTAGGTATCTTCTATCTGTAATTACATACACTTAAAATTAGATTGACTCAGATTTGCAGAACATGGACAAAGATGATTCTTTGTTCCTTTATTTCCTCCAATATACTGAATTTCAGTGCAGTCATGAGGTTGCACCTTCATTCTGCTTTTTGCTGCTCAGGGAATGCATGCCATTTGAGAGCTTGAAAGGTGGCTGTTCTGATTCCTCACAACTAGTAGAAAGCAATAGAAAAAAAAATAGAAAGCAAAGGCATAGATCAAAGCCACTGACGACCTCTCTTTCCAGGAACTTTATTCTGCATGTATATTTTAGCATTAGGTCAGTTTTGGAGAAGACATAACAGAACGTACTAACTAAATAAAAGGAATCAAAGAAATGATATGAGATCTTTTAGTTGCAATTTACAATATTTGTTTTAGTAGTTTGTTGACAGTTCTGCATTAGACAATGTATATCTTGTTCATTAAGCAAAGCAATGACTGGTGAAATTTTTACTTCAGAAAACGTACTGAGAAATGTCTTTTTTACAGTTTGCAGATGGTGTGTACTTAGTCCTGCTAATGGGCCTCCTAGAAGGCTATTTTGTTCCTCTGCACAGCTTTTTCTTGACTCCTGATAGTTTTGAACAAAAGGTAATTAGGTTTCATTTTTCTGTTAAAAACAAATAAACATATAAACATGGCTAGTAGTACAAGGATGACACAAACTTTTTTGCATAAGTTTGATATAAATAGCTGAAATCAAGAGAGGACTGTACCGGTAACCATTTCCAAGTGTTTTTAAGACCTCAGTATTAATGCTTATCTGGAATAAAAGGGAAAATTATATTAATGATAGGGTGGTTAGAAAGTATTAACTGATTTTGGCAGCAATTGTGTGATGCTGTCATTGAACCAGACTTACTGTTCATTAAATGTATAAAGAATTATTCACCTGAATTGATGACAGAACTGATTTTTTGTGTCCAAAATCCAAGAATTTAACATCTGAAAGGTTTCATGTTTTTTGGAAGCATAAAGGCATATATGTATAATGTATCATTTTAAGACCAACCATTACCCCAGTGTCTGTTGCTATCCAGGCAATTCAGCTGTCTATTCAAGACAAGAGCACTTCATGGGCCGTCATGTTCCAATTTTTAAACTTGTGGGAGGTGGGCTATTCTTACTTGTAAGTAATTTTTCTATGGGTAATGTTAGTTCACATGTTATTTTTCAATTACTTTTGTATTTCTGAAAGCACCATCACCACCCAGAAAAAACAGAACAATGGATTGTCTGGATTCCGTGGACCAGATCTTCCATTGATATATGGAGACCTGACTATTTTTTCCTTCCAAGGATCTCGGTCTGCAGCTTTAAATACATCTTGTTTTGACCATATGTATATGTATGTATATATATGTATATAGTTCACAATAATGACTACCTTTATTATATTACTAGGTCCTCAATGTATCCTTTGCGTTTGAGCTAATGCAAGATGGTGGATTGGAAAAACCAAAGCCAAGACCAGAAGGTATCTATTCTACTTTTTTTGTGCCTTCTTAAAAATTGGCGTTGGATCCAGATCTTATCTCATAGGATTATGGTATAGCTAAATGAAGGCTAAAACGTCAATCCAAGAGCAAAAGGCAAGATACATTTTGAAGCGCTCAGATAACTCTGTATTTTAAATGGCTGATAGATATGCTTTCTCAAATGTTGCAAGGCTTCCTTTCTTGAGTTGCCGGGGTAAGATTTGCGTGACCAAACATATGCAGTAATACTCAGATATTCACTGAAAGAAAAAGAATACAATTGTGAATGGTGTCACTGGCAGATATGAATTGCTCCAATTGCTCCATTTTCCCTCATCCCACATCTTCATACTAAACCTCAAGTATTCCAGTGTAATTTACAAGATTTTCACAAAAGAGGTAGATGTCGTGGAAGAAGGATTTCAAATGTTCACGTAACTGCCTTTGAGTGCACGACCTAATCATGCGTATTTAAATTAGATTTAGAGCTGGAGACTGAAACTAAAAAGTGTCCTCAGGGAAGATGAAGGTTTTGCTACTGACTTTAGCAGGACCAGGATTCCACTCCTCTTTGCTCATATAAATACAGGGTTTACGTCCAGCTTTTCGGGCTGGATATAGGGCCCATGGGGTTTTTTAGTCTGAATAAGAGGAGGCTGACCTTATTGCTCTCTACAACTACCTGAAAGGAGGTTGTAGCGAGGTGGGGATCGGTCTCTTCTCCCTAGTAACAAGCTGTAGGACGAGAGAAAACGGCCTCAAGCTGCGCCAGGGGAAGTTTAGGTTGGATATTAGAAAAAACTTTGTCACCAAAAGGGTAGTCATGCATTGGACCAGGCTGTCAAGGGAAGTAGTTGAGTCTCCAACCCTGGAGGTATTTAACAGACAGGTAGACGTGGTGCTTGAGGACATGGTTTAGTGGTGGACTTGCCAGTGATAGGTTAACGGTTGGACTCAATGATGTTAAGGAGGAGGCTGACCTTATTGCTCTCTACAACTACCTGAAAGGAGGTTGTAGCGAGGTGGGGATCGGTCTCTTCTCCCTAGTAACAAGCTGTAGGACGAGAGAAAACGGCCTCAAGCTGCGCCAGGGGAAGTTTAGGTTGGATATTAGAAAAAACTTTGTCACCAAAAGGGTAGTCATGCATTGGACCAGGCTGTCAAGGGAAGTAGTTGAGTCTCCAACCCTGGAGGTATTTAACAGACAGGTAGACGTGGTGCTTGAGGACATGGTTTAGTGGTGGACTTGCCAGTGATAGGTTAACGGTTGGACTCAATGATGTTAAGGGTCTTTTCCAACCTTAACGATTCTATGATTTACCATGTTATAGGGTGCTCTTGTGGTTCCTCCCATGAGAAGTTACTACTTCTTACCATGCAGGAGCTGGATGTGCAGCTTCTGCTCCATTGTTCCCAACAGGGGTGGTAGCTGGGCTTCTGCTGGTTACCTACCACAATAGCCAATATATAAGTGTTTTCAAGACGTATTGCATATTCACATTGTATGGTGCACAGAGTCTTTTCCTGCTGTAATATTGGATTGTCATTCCCTAAGGAGTTGATATAAGCTAATGCTCAGTTTTATTTCTAATAGTAAGGGCTCTCTGGAGACTCAGGCACACATCACTGAATCAAGTTCTGCTCCATTCTGCTTATTTTCCATCCCTCCCAAGTTCCAGATCATAACAGCAGCACACATACACACACAGAGGCAAAAAAAATTTATGTCTCAGGATTGAGCCTACACTGTCTATGCATTTAGTCTGGACCCACCCAGTCTTATTTTTTTTGCTTCTTTTGATTGCTTGAACTCTTATCCACAATCGTGCTTAACTAAACCAGTGGTGACTGTATCACAAACTTTTATGTTTGAAATAGTCAAAGAGAGAAGGGGGAAATAGTGAAATCTAGGGATCCAAGTAAAACAGAGAGTATCTGTGATCCCGTACTCCCCATGGAGGTTTAAAATTCTTATAGCATTTAATTTTTCAGGTATTTATTGCTCTAGGGCACAGCTAATTTTTCCAGTATAAATCAAGCCATAAGGATATTTCAGCATATATAAGACATTTCTTGTGCAATTATTGAAATGCTTAATATGAAACTTCCTGCCCAATGTGAATGGAAAAACACATCTGTTTTATGTGTTGTTACATTGGGCACAATGCCCGTACTTAAAATTTCCAGTGAGCAAAAGAGTATTGAAAAGGATCTTACCCTAAATGTGTATACTAAATACTCTTTAAATTCCTACACTGTTTCTTTGAGGTTCTTGAGGAAAAAATATGCTGAAAAGTGCTTTAGAATATGAAAAACATATTTAGTGGAAAAAAGAATGTGGTTAAATAAATGAGTATGAAAACCAATGATTTTTATGGGGTCAACAGTTTATTTGGGTTACTTGCAATATAATTGAAAAGGTATTAAAAAGCTTTCCGTGACCTTTTACTGTAAAAATGGCTAGAACATTAATCTACTGAGTCTGTAATGAATTCATTTGCAGTTTGAGCTTTTTCAGATTACTTCTTGAAATGTGTAAATCAAAGCCAAACTCAAGTTTCTCTTTTTGAAAATTGCAACCAGTAAAATGTTATACATTTTGGTCAAACACACATAGCAATGGAAATAACTCATCTTTCTCTGGGAGCATGCTTCTTTTTAGTGTGGACCTTTCTGTGGAATTCTGTTGTGCTGGTGGAGTACTCTGTTAACTTTGCAAAGACCTGTCAAAGTTGTCTCTTTATTCATTTGAAGTTCTATATTAGGAAATGAAGATGTTACATCTTGCTGCTGGCCTAAAAGAGGAAATTTCCCGAATTATACTCTGCAATACTGTTTGCGTATAACATGATGTTGTGGAAGCAATGTGCCCTTTGGGTAGCTTTTGGCATTTTCTCTTCATTTTATACCAAGCATTTTTGATCTGATTTATTAAGAGCCACAAAACCATTTGGCCATGGTTTCATGACCATGCGTTGTCTCAGCACAAAATCTAGGTTTGATTATTTTCACCCTTTGTCCATGGATGTCAGTTTGCCGTCTAGCTAATACCTTTAGCCCTTCAAAGTTTGCATGCTTTGGGACACCATGCATAGGTTTGATTGGATTTGTTCTTCAAAGTATAAACCCTTCACAATCTGTGAGAAACATCACTGTAGATAAATATAACGGCAAAAATATCTGATGATTACATACACAATTTACTAGGCTTACTTGGAGGTTTTGAAGATAATGGGACACCACCTGCTTTACACCTTCACGGCCAATTCCAAGAACCAAAGTTAGGAGATGGAGTTCCTATACAGTCAACAGAAAGAGATAGGACTGTTCTATTCTAATTCTGTTCTAATTCTATTCTATTCTAATTCTTTTCTGTTCTTTCTGAGGGCAATTCTGAGTCCCTATTTGAGACTGAATATTCCTTGAAGCACTAGCGTAGACTGCTGCAGTAGTACTTGTCAGTTTGTTTTATAGATTTCTTGTGAAATAATATTGACTTTCTCAACAGCTTCTCTTGGAAACAGCAGGTATTCATTAGCTTTTTGTTTCCTATAAATCCTTTACTTTAGATGTTGAGTTTCTACGGACTGATTCAGCCATGTACATCAGCTAACCCAAAGCATTTTCACAAGTGTCTTCAAGGGGCACTTGTATACCTAGCTTCTTTAGATCCTTCTGAAAATTTAAACTTGCCTCTAGCTATCTTGCTGAAATTAGGCTTAATAAAGGATGTTGCAGCCCAGAATGGGCCAAGTCCTGCAATTCTTACATATAGAGAAGAGTTCCGTTGGTTCCTGCCTGATGATTTTTTCAAAATCATTACTTTTGGTCCACAATCAACTGAAGATTCAGTCATATAAATATACGTAATCCTAGGCACAATTTGTCTCCTGGGCATCTAAACCTTGGTCGCATTTCTTCATCAGCACCATTAGCCATTTGTATACCTAACTAGAAGTGGTTGAAATAATGATTTTTTGAGTTGCCAGTTTAAAAGCTGTGCTTTATTTGTATTTCTACTCTTTCTTACTATCTTTGTGATTCGAATGTTCATGGATGTGGATCTGAACAAGGAAAGGGAGTAGAGAATAGGCACTTTTTCTGAAAACGTTTTGAGTTAATGAAGTTACTAATGGTCTTTTCCCTTGTCTTCTTTTTTTTTAGATATTGTAAATTGTGACTTGAAGTCTACACTGAGAGTACTGTACAATTTGTTTACCAAATACAGGAACGTGGAGTGAAGAATTGATTTGGGACGTAAAGGAGTGTTAACAAAGAAAGCATCATAACTAGCATATTTTTCATTGGTATTCCTCTGCATCTTTATCCTAAAAGGAACTAAACCATTTACCTGAAGAATTTTTTATTGATTATTCTTGCACTACTATTTTCATAGTAGATTTAAAACTAATATAAGTTATGAAGAAAAAGGTTTGGAAGAAGGTATTTGGGTATATTCTGGGAGAATTAATGTCTCAATATTAACTGTCTTCACACTGTTTTGTAGTAGATGAAGCAAGAATGAAAAAAAGATTTAGTAACTTTAATTCAAATCAGCCGTTGAAGCCAATCATAGGAAGATTCAGCACTGAGTATCTATTTTAATATTTTTTACATATATCTTTTCTAATCTGGGGATTTTCTATCCATGATAAATTGGTTGCATTCTAATTATGAGAAATGTGCATGGGGAGAAACAGTTAAATACTCTTGTTCGCTTCACAGCTAAAAAGAAGAGACTTTCTCAAGCACTTAACCTGATTAATTTATATTTCCAGTGCTGTTAGGCTTGAATTTTATGGGTACAAACTGAAGTGGCTACTCATTCCTTCAGACTTATTATAATGTGCTTTAAATATGTGTTATTGAGCATTCCTCATAAGCACACTTTGCAGCTTGTCACTTGGTTTTGTTCAAGGAAGAGATCTTTTTTGCAAAGTACACATTTCAGGAAAACACACCTGTATAATACAGTTTCCCTATAATATTTGTGTTATTACCTAGTATTAGAAAGTAAAAGAATGGCTTGTTTTTCTTTTAGTAGTTTAAACACGATTACCAGGTTGCAAGTATAGATTTATTCCTAAATAGGATTTAGAATCTGTCCCTTTGGTTGATTTTATGATGAATGTATTTTGCTGCATAATGTCTAACACAAAAAAATAAGATTTATTTTCTGGAAACATTCCTGTAGCCTTTCAGATACAAAAGCACTGCTTTTACGTCAAAACTACTCCCATCTGTGAAGACTCTATTACAGCATAAGGTTCTTTGGTCATTTTACATGGCTATAAAGAGTACTTTTTTCTAGTCATAACCAAGTATAAGCTGTTATCTGTTTTGTTCTAGCTTTAGCAAAGACACAAAAGACAAATTGGAGTTGATTCTTCCCTTAGACTTGATATCAAGCACCAGTTATGTTTCCATGAAGAAGCTGATAGAGACTGCCTGACACAAGTGCTAATCGTCAAAAACTGCACTGGCATAAGTTGAAGAGTAAATTAATCATTTGCTAGAAGTCTTGATGTTAGTATCATATACCTTTCCAAAAGAAGTGTTCCAATGCAACCAGAGATTCTTGGGATCCTGGGTTACACAGTAAAGAAAAAAATCCTTAGGCAGAAATTACTGGACGACTGTTTAGAAATCTTCGGACTGCTTAGTGCAGGAAGGAGACTTGTTAATAGTCATCCAATTATGGCAGAACTGGTGTAGGTGAAAGGGAAAGCAATCTGTCAGCTCTTGAGTCTCTTCATCTGAAGAAATGCAGTGCTGGCAAGAACAGTCAATAACAGCTATGTGTTACTTAGTATATAAAGCATTACATATTTTTCAGTTTTCCAGGCTTTTTTTTTAATGTAGAGTTTTCCAGTGCAACATTAGCATAAAGGGAAGACAAGCAATCATGTTCTGTCTTTGATGAACACTAACTGATGTTTAATAACAAAATGATACTGACTTCTGCTGGGAGGGGCACAGAATTTATTATTCTGAGAAGTAAATAGCAACTTGTGCAAAGGAAAGTCAATACTTAATTCAAAGGGCAATATCTGGATGTTCTCTGAACTCAGAAATTGTTATCTGATTGTTATAAGCATTCTAAATATCTTTATTAAAATATTTTTTTACCTTTATATTTTTTAACTGAGTTTCTGAAATTAGAGGTGCAGAAAATAACAATTATTTGCCTTTTACACAGGTAAATAACTGGACATTTTGACCTCAGTGAAAATGAACATTTTTTCATTATATCTTTAATATCTGAGAAGCTAAGTGATAGGAATTACCAAAGCATTTTTTGAGCAAACTGAGACAGAACTTCTCATGTATATACCAGCAGCAATTTCAGCTTATTTTAATATTTCACATGTAAGTTTTTCATTTGCACACCTAGATTGTAGTAATTGTAATTGTTAATTAATATATGTATGATGGTTTTTCTGCAGATCATGCTCAGCTGAAATACTCTTACATCTCAGCAATGCCAAAACATTTTGATTGCCCTTGTTTTCAGGAGTGCACTTTCTTTAAAGAGGAGATTTATATATGTAAAGGAAAAAGGTTAGGAACAGTGAAACTGGTTTTTGCCTGGACTTGAAAATAAGTGTTCCTGTGCTATCTTGGTATAACATTATTGGAGATATTGAAGTCTGTCAGGCTCCATTTTCCATCCTTAAAAAACATAAAACTGACACAGAATGATGAAATCCTCATGCTGAAATGCAATTATGCAGAACCATAGAAACATTTAAACAAGAGCCAACCTTTACACTATTAGCTATCCTATGGTAAGAATTTATGTAAATTAAAATCTGCTATATAAACAAGAGTGTCCTATGTAAATATAGACCCATGTGATAGTTTTAACACATTCACACAAATAGTATATGCTGCCATGTAGGAGTGGGTCACTGCTTATATTTTTGACAGTGTAGATTTAAATAGCTATCAGATAAATATGAAATCTAATATACAGATTATATCTAATATTTATTGCTTTGATACAGAATATTATAGAAATATAGACTACTACTGTAGACAGTTTGCTCTTCAGCAATCAGTGCAGGCCAGCACCTTCCTTCAGGGAAGCGAAATGGTAAGTTAGCTGAGCCAAATTCTGCCGACACCTATGATGCTTGTATTCTCGATACATAGCAGTGTATACTGATGTACAGCTGAATGCAGAATTTTCCTCACCGTTTATATTAAGATAGAAGTTGTTTAAGTTTTAGGTCAATCCTGATTTTATTTATAATTACTTTAAATGATTAAATAGATCCAAATCAATGGATTTAGACCATGTAAGATATGAACAGTCACCTGGAGAGGCCAGTTTCTCTACTGGTCACAGAGGGAGCCCCTGATCTCGAGGCTGCTATGTCAGCGCTTTGGCTAGGTTTCTAAAGCCAGGTAGTATCCAAGCCGCCGCCACTCTCTGACTTCTAATCCATCTATTGCATCCAGCAATACGGTATCCAGATTTGTTTTGTGGTTGGAGATGGGCATCCTTTCCCTATTGATTGATCCTGGCATGCTCTGTCAACCACACAAAACTTATTTTTTTCAAAAAGGAGCTACAGATTCTTAATAGTATGTCAAAAAGATGTTGTCAAAATAATTATCTAAAATCCCAATTTCTTGAGATCAGCTCCTTTCAGATTTCTTTCCCAACTGACCGGCATTTAGTTGCTATAAAGAACAGGCCCTAGAAAAAAGGTATTGAAGGAATCTTTGCATAGCTTTACCTGGGACATACACATAACGTCCAGAATTGGATTGCTCTATATTTCCGATGGAGTACAGACGCACCAAGTTTCTTATTAAATGAGCTGACTGCAGAATATCTAGTTCTTCGCATTTCTTAGTCAGTAGATATCTTCCTGTTATAGGGGGCCAGCAGCCGTTGCAGCTACATAGTTCAGGAATTCAAGTGGAGCAGCGAGTGCTGGATAAGGTCCTAATCTACTTCAATTGACTGTGGACCAAGTTGCTTATTGGCATATCTCCATGTAAACTAGTGGCATTAAATCAACAGAGCGTTTGGTCCTTTCTGTTTTACAGAGGGTTACAGTACTTGGGAATGGTTGACATTCAGGCAGACTATATTGATTGAGGTAAATGCTACTTGGTTGATCTTTGTTCTTACTTATTTTTGTAAAGTATGTTTTTAAATTCATGTTTCAGATTAATTTAGCAGACACCTTACTGCAAGCCACAGTGTTGTAAAGCAGAATGGCTTTTAAAAGTAATGGGTTTTATTTCATTAGAGAAAGATATATATAGTATTTAATGTACTAGATACTAGCTTTAGGTCTAGTTTTTGTTATTCTTTTCTTCCTATCAAAACAGCTTTCATGAATGGCCTGTGTGTGTGCCAAGCACCCAAAGAGAGAACAGTGCCTTGAAGCCCTCTTGCAAGTTTTTCTACACCGTTACCTAATAGACTTTTGTCATTTTACTGTAAGAATTAGTGTGGGTTTTCTCTTTACAGCTAAAGTACAATTAAAGGCTGAAGAAATCCTTTGTAGAAAGTTATAATTAGTTTAAGATTTTTTTTTGATGTATCACATGAAAAATGGAGATAGCAGCACCAAAATTCCAAAATTATGCATACCTCAGCATCCACAGATTTTCCAAAGACGTTTTGAGTCATTTAACATTTACTAGGGCTAATTTTATATATTTTGACAATATTTTCTGTGTGACTCTTTACAATAATGAGATTTTATTTTCTGTCTAACAGTTTAGTACTATACACTGTGCAACGATGTTAGTGTCATTGAAATATTTGGTTCTAAATTTCAATATCAAACTAATTGAGAAAAAAGAATATTTGCAAAATTTGCTTCTTAACATGTGTATCTGAAAATACGGATTAGTTTAAATTAAGCTGCATTGCCTTCAACTGCAGAGTTGGTAGCTTTCACGGAATATATTTTATGTACTCTGTAAGTAAGAGACACTGTATTGCTGATTTTTTCCTGTGCTTTTTCTGAAACCTTTGTTATGATCCACAATAAAATTTGCACCTGAAAATCAACACTGTATGTTGTTGTTGTGTCAAATTATGAGATGTATGACAAAAAATTAGGAAGGCTCTATGGTTTATGTTCTCAGAGCTTCCAGACCTCTCTATGCATCTAACGCATTCTCAGTTACCTCTTTGTGGGTGTACTTGGTGTTTATTATTATTTTCTGCGGGGGCTGGTGACAGCTGACAGTGGGTTGGCAAAAACAGCCA